TCCAAATAACGTTTCAGAACTGATTCTTTCCAACTCTTCAATTGCTCACTTCCTTTTCCGAGCCTGTGTTAAGTGACAATCAGGAAAGGATGCCTTGTGCCGGACATCTCAATCAGATAGGCCATTAACAGCTGGCGTAGCGACCATTATCAAAAGCTGGACGAATGCCATCACGTAAGGATATAAAGATGATTAAATGTTCTTAATAAAGAAGTAAAACATTGAATTTCGTCACACAACTATAATATACCTATTTATTGGGAAATATGCATAGACAAAAAATAAATAAATTGTGTAAAAGTAAAACAATGGAGAGTTTAATTCGATAGAAGCTGATCAACGCTTTTTGAGTTGGGTTCATACCAGATATAAAATATTATTTTAAATCAATCAACAAAATAATCTTTAATACTTGATGGTTGGCCGTTGTATATTATTGAGGGAGGAACTGGTGAAATAAGTTACCTATCTACCTGCTAGGAAATCAAGAATTGAAATGAATAAAGAAAAATAAATTTTCCTTAGTAAACAACATTATTTTGTGAGGAAGGAGATGGTCCGGGGTGGCGATCATCACTAGCGGATCCAGAATTTAATTTTGGGAGGGGGGGGGGAGGCTACAGCCCGAAAGCTTTTTTTTCATAAAAATAACGATAATTACTTAGGAAAAAAAGAAAGAAACTAACTACCTATATGAAATGGTGTTTAAGTGATTCCTAAAGTCCTTTTAGATGTAATTACACGAACAATAATACCTTAAGAGATAATTTTTTAATATTTTTTCCCAAAAAACATGGTTATATTTTACCATTTTGGGAGAGACTACAGCATCAAAGCTCCTCCCCCGTAAATCCGCCGTAAAATTTCATATAAATGAGTAAAAAGTATATTTCGGCCTTATGTATAATGTGTAAGAGTGGAAAGCAAGCACACAACTAATTTTGTTTATTATCTATTTGAAAATAATGAACTATTAACACGTCTCATGTTAAAAAAATATTTATTTTAAATCTCATTGGTATTATGATTTGTATTTACCTTCTGGTTGTACCATCTTATTCTGAAATTTTTAGAGTTCCACTAAATTAAAAAAAAAAATGTTTTTGTTCAATACTAAACATTTCCAAGATGAGAAGATTCTAGAATATGGGCGATTTTTTTTAATTTACCTTTATTTTATACCGTGACATACGGAAACAATGGAGATAAGAAGAGAAATGGGACCTTCAATGTATCTGATTCTCAATCTGTAGGACAATAATTTTTATATATTTCAGCCTCGCAGAGAAATCATATGAAATAAATGATACACTTTAATCACCTCTCCATATTGGAAACTTAACTTCACAAAGAAACAGGACACTACAGCCAGATATAAATAAATAATTCAGTTTCAGATTATAAAAAATGGATAATCGATGTTTATATAAACATCGCACATACATACAAATATGCATCGCAATTTTTCATTGTAACCAGAAATAATATATATTAATAAAATAAAATGCTTTGTAAAAAGTATGTAACTGATTTCATTTGTTTGTTGACTTATTCTCTATTACATTCCTGTTATCGAATCTGAACTTTCTAATTCGTTTATTATTTTTCTTTTATTGTTTATATACTTATCTAGTAGAAGAAAAAAAAATACAACTGATGCAAATTACTTACCTTCTCACGTTTAAAAATTAGCGCCCATTTATAATCTCGTTATTTATGTGAGCTGGTAGGTGAACTAGCTTTCCTTGAACAATCACACAACTACAGTGTGATGTTACGTACTATGAAGTTATCTTGTACATGAACTACTATGCCTTATCATTGCTCAATAATGTCAAGTGAATAAAGTAATATGATTATTTTTTATTTACTTTGTGAAGGAAAATTATTTTGGTTCTTAATGATTTACGAAAATAAGTTTTGAATGATTTACATTAAAAAAACTAAAGCATTTCGAAAGTTATCGATAACTATGGAACATATTACTAATTAATAGCAACTTCAAAATAGCCTATCCTTTAGTATTATTTAGAATATGATCTATTTGATTAGTAGATCCCTCGATATTAATATTCTAACTATTTTAAAATACAGTAAATGTTTTGTACAATTGACATTTTCATCCTTTCATGATACACGTTAATAAAGTAATTGATTTTCCTATTTTTAAGATGTTTTAGTGATTTTATTTTATTAATGTCCCTAATGTCTATATCCTTCTTTTTAAAAAATTATAACATGTTTGTATGTTTATTTATGTTATTTATATATAGTAATTGGAGTTTATTAATGTAGTTTTTGGCCAGTTATGTTTTCTTTGTTTTTAAGGGATTTTACATAATAATAGAATTTTTTTTCTATTTTATTCTATTATATAACCATATCTTTATTTTTTTTTTAAATTAATGTGCATATATATTTATATATTTTATTTAATTAATGTTTTTCTATCAATAAAATGTGCACGAGTGCCGGTTGTTTTTATTCCTCTTCTGACGCAATCCATCTTTATTACGTTTTATATATGCAAGTAATAAAGATTAAGATTACAGTTATGATATAAATAAATATCTTAGGTTTACTAATATCAGTTATGCAATTGTCCCTTCCTACTAGTCAAGTGTTTTCTTCACATATCTCTCATATGTAAATCGCAAGATGCAGGGAATGTGAGCGATCAAGAATGGTTGGCATATTAGTCCTTAAATAAATATAATTTACATTATAATAATTAAAACTACAAAATATAACAAAACAGCATTTGATACATTTTTTTTTTTAGATAAAAATATGAACTGTATAAATCGTTGATTCTCTCGGAAGCAGCTGTTAGATAATAAAATATTACAATTATTTTGTTTACAAATGTCTATAAGTTAACATAAAAATAACTTATTCACTCATTAATAAAAACAAAAAAACCAATAACTCGATATATTTAATGAAATAAAAAAAATTAAAGTTCAATAAATGTTATATGCCTCTTAAACATACCATTATGTTTTAGATGTTAATTGATAACTACCATTGTTGATATCTCATACTTCATATTGCTTCGCAGGTTCAGAAAAAATCACGAAGAAAGTGTTTGATAAATGAAGACCGGACATCAGTAACGGGATAAGTGATAAAAAAAAAAAAAATAGTCAGATAATAGGCAAGCTTAATGTCATCTCCAACATCTGATAAAACATGATAAATCATGTAAAGAGCTTGTCAATAGTTTTTATTTTGTATTTTAGCCTAAATCCTATTGGCTATTGGTATGCAAATTTTGTGAAATATATCTAAAACTATCAAATAAATTTTCGTATTGGCACTTATTGTTAGCCTATTGGGCTGGTATTCAAAAATACCATAATTAATAATAATTATTAATTAAAAAATAAAGTTATAGACAAAAAATGTATGTATTTAAAAAAAAAATCTTCAATTTTAATTCATAATAAAATTTTATTTTTTTCACATCCTAATTTTTAAGGATGCATAAGAAAAACTTTATATATGAACTAAGTAGATGTAATTGTCAAAAATTATAGTTAAAACTTTGTGGCATCGCGAATTTGGATATATTTTGTGCTCTTCTTAGATTAAATTTTATTTTCAAAGGACATGATGTAAAGGAATTGGATACGAAATGATGCTGATCTTATCATTTGTATTGCAATCCAATGTTCAGTTTCATGGTAATTTGAATGTAATAGATAAATTCGCTAGTAAGGAAATCGTTTGTTTGTAATGCAATGGCTAAATTCTTGAAAGACATGGAGTTCAATCCCCAGGACTCGTGACCTCGAGGAAGATTTGTGCAGTGCTTTAAGGAATACCCTCAGAATGGAAGTGTTCTGAAGACTGCATGCAACCTGCTAAAACCAAAGCTATTTTTAGTATGACAGGCTATGTTACTGCCTTAAACACGGCACCTGAGTCGTCCAAGGAGAACCTACACTATTTGATCTTTTGATCTGTTCCATATTCTTTAAAACAAGTCATGAACAGAGACACGAAAAAAAAAAAATTCTGAAAATTATTATCTCTATTTGCATCTTGAACGATTTGTTATGAACAAACATTATCTTACAGGAGATCGGCCTTTTACTGTAAGAATTTTGGAATTTAAATGAAGCATACGACCAATATTAGACGATCCCAACTAGTTTCTTTGAAACTTTTATTAGAGAGAAAATTGTTTTAAATATAGTGATTACTAAATTAAACTGTTGCCTAAAATGATTCTGGAAAATGTTAGGAAAGATTAAGGAATACCTGATATTCTCATTGTACTAATCCTTAGGTATTTAAAAACATTTGCTTCACAAGAATAAAAAAAGAAAGAAAGAATAAATCCTTTTTCTTCTTTCATTAACACCCCGAGACCATTAGAATCCACTATAATAATCTATATTTACTATTATCACCGAATCCTTCACCGAAAAGAAGCTTCAACGAAATTTTGATAGTTTACAAAATTTCCTAACAAAACAATCGTTGAAATCGGACGATTTGGTGCAATTATATGTAGTTCTAAATATTTGTCGCACGTTCTGCTGCAAAACTGATATCCTTTTTTTTTTTTTGTGGAAGTTGCTTTTTTGAAAGTCTTTTATCAACTGAAACAATCGGGTTTGTTTTCTATATTTCTTAGCAAATTACCGATGATGGCCAAATTACAAAAAAAATGTTTGTTGGCCAATAGGTTTAGGAACCACCTTTTATTCATTATCTTGTATATGACTAGGAGAGTAATGTTACATATGATATATAATTGTTTGAAAAAAATAAACAATTGTGTAATAATTTTGCAGCGTTTTTCAATACAAAGCTAAGTTAGTATTTTTCTTATTGTACTCCATCCAACCTCGTCTAAAAAAAAATATTTTTCTCAAAATTTGCTCATAATAACCATTTTCATTTGTAGAAAAATCTGTTTGCAAAAATCATGATTTATTTACATACGAAATCTACGCCTACCTTACAATTGTTAAAGGCTCAGTCCTAGTTCAATCCTTTTCTGGTCTACCCCAGAAATGGTACACCTCTTCAGTCCATAGGTCCTTGGTATTTGATCGAGTAATATCTTCAGATTTAGGTACCGGTTTCTGTTGAATGCTTATTTCGTTTTCTTGAGGTGATATTTCAACAGACGTTAGTCCCGTGAAGAGATCCGCTATTATTCCCATCTCATCATTACAATATAAATGAGTTTTTTGATAGTTTTAGGTTTTTCTATCTTTAATTATAGAACTTCTTTGGTTACGTTAGTTCTGTTGTATAGATTTCCATATTGTATGAACAGATATTTTTAAATAAAAAAATATTAACAGAAACATTTTTGAAAAATTCAATCCAATCTTTAGTTTCTCATTCACGTAAAGAAGCTATGAACTTTGTGAGTTTCAAATTCTTAATTGTTTATTACTTAGATATCTAAAAAATCAGTTTATGTACTAGGTGTATTTTTGTATTGTGTGTATTGCGTAGTTCTTAATAATAGAAATCTTTACGGAAACATGGAGGAACATAAAAGATATACATTCTATTACAATTAGTTTTATTTATTGCTTTCATATTTACAAATTCATAATAAAATATATTTTTATACAGTATTATCATTTATTTATTAACTATCTATGTTTCCATTACCATCCTTTTTATTTTAAAGATTAAATCTAAAATTTACTACTATATATGGTGCTAATACTGCAATCATTGTATATCCTAACACCTATGAAAATACTGTTTGAGTAAAAATTTATTCTAGCGAAAACTAAACTTAATTTTTAATTTTAAAATTAATTAAATATTTTCTATTGATTTATTATTGTAAATACATAACCTTACTTTTTTTTCTTTTGAGATGAACAACATCCTCTTATTAAAACTTAATGACCATTACTTTACAAAATAAAATTATAAAGAAAAGTTTGGATTTGAAAGTTAGTATTACATACATTCTATTAATTTTTATCTTTCAACTTTAAATATTATCTTTTTTTATATATTTCCCTTATTCTGTATAGCTACTTTTTTTCTAACTAATTTTGAGCTTCAATAATTTAAATAATTATTCAAGACAAATTTCTAATTCTACAGGCAGTGATTATATAATACATACATATGTTCTTACAATGTACAACCATTTTTCATTTGATATGAAAATAGAATTTTTACAAATACTATTATTAAAAAAATCTTAATATGTTTTTATTTTATTTTTAAACACAACCTGTAAAGTTTTTACAAAAATTACAAAATTATACGAGTTTGAGACGTTTAATATTCAAAATTGGTTGAGTTGATAATTCGACTTATTTCAGTTACTTACTTGTATTACCTTTAGGGCTGTATTCTAACATCTTTTATTTAATGATATAAAGGTATGTTACATCACAATACAATAATTAATGTACTACCTAAAATCACATCCTATAAATGACTTTCAGTCATCTAGTTCTTAAAATTATGATCTATATTTTATAAAATATTATCATAAGACTATGAGCGAGCAGTGCCAAAAAAAATTATTATAATAAAATAAGTTATTCAGGAAGGTATATTATCATTTTGGCAATAAGAAATAAGCACAATATACAAAAATCAATTCGTACCTTTATTTTACAATAAATTATTTTTTTTGTCATGATGTTTAAGTAATTCTTATGAATACTGCTCGCCAGGACTCCCATATTAATCCGAGGAAAAAAACCATGTTTTATCAAATTATTAACATTAACGTCTAAAACTTCGTGGATAGCTTCATATCATCGTACAACATTTATTATTAACTTTATTTATTAACTTTTTGAAGTGAAAACTTTTCTTTAAGTGCGTTTCACACGTTTTTGTGCAAAGTGAATTAGATTGATCTGAGAGATTTTCTCGGAGTAGAAACTAAAAATCGCGCCTGTATGCGAGGAAATTGTTCAGCATTTCCTCCTTTATGTAATAATCTATAATTCAAAATTGTGTCTTAACGCGACGCCGTGTTAGGGAGGCGAAAATGAAAAAAATAGTTTCAAAAACCAAATGATAACGAGGTTAGTTGAAGATATGAATTAAACTATTTCAGATAATAAAAATCGGACCTATAGGCTGTAAGAGGGAAATGTTCAGCATTTTGCCTTGTTTGTTATAAGCTATTGTTCAAAAATGTATCTTAACCGAACACTTTGTTAGAGAGAAGAATAGGGAAAAAGATAGTGTCGAAAACCAAATGGTAACGAGTTTATGCTAATTTATTGTACAAATGCTAATATTATTACAATGATGAAATTTTATTTCGACAAAATATTAACAAAGTATACAAAATAAGATGAGAAATAATATAAATAATAATAATAGCAGAGACTCAATGGAGGTGAATCAAATGCTTGAAAGAATAAATAAAATGGACAATAAGTAAATATTGTTGGGTCTGTTTTGATGTAGACAATTTATTTACCAATACAAACTGGAAAGATGTAATAAAAATATATTTAATTTCGATTTAAGTAATTTTTGGACAGATGTGGTTTTTATTTTTTGTTCATTAATGTTATTCTTAAGCGACCTCGCCTCAGAATGAAGTTTATTTTCTATTACTATTTCTAAAAATAATACTAAAATACTGAGGAGCCCTAGAACCGCATACCCAAATTAAAGTGTTTTATGGAAGATATGGATTAAAATATCTCAGAAGCTAAAAATCGGACCGAACATACAGTAAGAGAGGGAAATATTCAGCATTTGACCCTCTTTATAATTAGTTATTATTTATAATTTATATTTTATATTAATAATCTCGTCTTGTTGCTGTTTTCACTTATATCGTGTAGTCTAAAACACACACCTTAGTTATTTTTAGGCTGTTTGGTGTTATTTCCAACCCCAAAATGTCAAAATAACGATGTTATATAGGCCAAACTGCCCAATATTTTTTTTTTTTAATTTGTGATCAAATTATCTTACAATTCAAGTGTAAAGTAAATGAGTATTTATGAGTTTTTAAAATCTAATTCAATTCATTAATTTAATGATAAAACGTTCCATTTATAAAAATTTTCGTAGATAAAAATGTTGTACCTTACAAGAAGAAGCCTTTCATGAAGTATTACATGGTCTGTACCGTGGAGAGGAGGTTTCATCGGACCCATAGATAAACAAAGTAGAATCTTATTATAATAAAATTAATTATATATATATACATAAATGTGGGGACCCCCTGCTACAACTAATTGGTATAATTTATGCCACTTTCTGCAGTTAATTGTCATGTCCTATGAGTGGGGTAACATTTTTTGTTAATTGTCTCACAATTATAATAGCCTTATTTTTTACAGCTCACACAGTTAAAATTTAGTTGTGAAAAACTTTAATATTATTTAATAAAGAAATATTAACATGGCAACAAAAAAAAAACAATACTTTCCTTAGCTAGTATAGGTAGGAAAGTAAAAAAGATATATGAAGTATATTTGTTCAATAGTAAATGAATTTCGAGATAAAATAAAATATATAAGATAATTAAATAAAAACAAAAGGTTATTTTAATGAAATATACGGCTTTTATTAAATATTTTGGAACATAGATTCTAGTCAATGAAAAAAAAATGGAACAACCATTGTTTAGAAAGTGTTCCGTTATTTTTTTTATATATATGAACAATATATTATTTGATACACTTTTATGCCTCTAAATTGTATTTTGGCCACATCCGTATCACGACTTAGTCATTCAACATTCTGATTGCTTCTTCCGACGTATCTGTCCACATTTCCTATGGAAAATATAGACTATAAAATTTGCCTTTAAAAGTTTCCACAAAACCGTAGTATTCATTAAAAAAAAAAAAAAAAAAGAAGTAATGTATGGAGGGTTAAATTCGCTGCTAACGTATTCCGTCCCATTAAAATTCAAATTAAACGCTGTGTTGGGTACAATGGTCATCAAACATCATTCCTCCTTTTTTCCCGGATTAGACATTGCAGTCTTTGTCTACCTAAATAAATGTCCGTCCAAACCGCTTCCATTAAAATGAGTATAAATATAGTAGATGCTTAGACACGTAGCACCTACCATTCTCCCCTACGAATCCTTTATTATTACAAAACTTGGTAATTGTAGTATTTTGAATAGGAAATGGTACTAAAATGTTTTATGGTTGCATATAGTATTTTTCTAAGATCGGCGTCATGGCAGGTGATGGTCATGGTACCCACTTTTTTTGTTATCTTACCCTCTGATGTGTAAGATAATCCTTCATCTACCATGTTCCTTCAAATCCTGCTTTGCTCCGGTTCGGAGCCTGATTCTTGTCAGCAAGTGGCCATCAGAGCAGCTCTCCTCATCCTGTATTCGGTCGGTGTAAGTAGACCTCTGTAACAAATGTTAAAAGTTATCATTATCTCAACAAAGACTATTACATTCGAATATAATGCGGTTTCGTTGATACAAAATGATGATAAATCTAATGTAAATCCTTACACGTTTAAATAACTGATATATTATATGTAGTAAAGTAATCTATATAACATTTATTATATTTTCACGTTTTATAAAATGATATATGTTGCAATTATATGAAGTATACCAAGGCTGCAAGAATAAGTTTGGAAAAATTGAAGCCAACAATTGCGAACTAATATTGACCGTTTGTTGGATGAATTTATTACAAAGGGTCTTTTTTTTTGTTAGAGGACCTAGAGGATGTCAAAATGATTGATATATAACTGAGGTCTAGCTCATTGTCAGTAGTCTCAGGAAAGATCGGAAGGATTCTTAAGTTCCTAAACCCTTCGTGGACAATCAGATATATGGATCCGGATTGATTCATAGCTACCTTTGAATGCGGCAAGGAGTTTACAATAGGTGGAAGGTCGGCTTGTTACTTGGCACCTACACATTGCTTATAAGAATGTCAGTAAAATCATCAACTTTGTACAAATATCTAACTAAAGATGGTATTAAATTTTGTTTGTTTATATAATAGATATTTGCATGTCTGCACAAGGATTAGACATCAAAGAGGTCAGTCACTCATATATCATAAATGATTAAAAATTATTTAGTCGAAAACACTCTTATATAATAGTTAGGGATAGTTAGATTTCATAAAATTAAAATAAAAACTAGTACAGAAATAATTCTGTCCTAACAGAGAGAGGACTTCCACAACTTATGGAAAAATACAAATACGCGCACTTCAAACGTTTTATAATTGGATAGAAAGAAGTTGTACTAGCAACCCACTTCTCTCTGGGAACAAGAAGAGAAGCTGCACCGGGGAGGCCACCAGAATAGATAGAAGAAAGGAAAACGAGACGCAAGTGAAGAGAGCAAGCTGTGTGCACAGCTCAGAAACATAATGTAATAGTTAAAATATGCAGCAGTGTGTTGTTATGTAACAGTAGCATCCCATGGCTGTAAATACCCGTATTGCCTTGAGGTAGGGAAGGGTTGAAAATAAATAAATTTAAGAAAATAAAATCAAAATCCATAACTGTAAATCTACACGAATGAATTAAATATGTAAAATAAAATTAAGAAAATAGAAAAAGTAGACTAGATAGCTAAGCTAATGCATACAAATAGCTACCCAAGTATTTTACTAAGCCCTATATCATTATTATTGACAATTTAATTTACATTCAAAGATAAATTATATGTAGCACTTATTCTATAATTTAATGATTCACTCATGTGGATTCTTGCGTTTTTACGTAAGGATTGGATCACATTCCCTTCCCCGCCTTCATCTCATTGCCTCAACCTTTGAATAAAAATATGTAATATATTTAATTGATTTGTTAACATAATTTGAATTATATCCGTAAGCAAAAAAAAATAGCATTACTTCAGTAACATATTCAAAATTTAAAAACTAAACAAAGGGTATAATATTTGTAGTAGAAATATAAAAAAGAACGAAAAAGACCATATCGTTGCTCCTAATTATCCGATTTTAACGATTTTTTTTTTTTTTTTTTTTTTAGGAAATTCCGTAAATTTTTATAAAACAATACGATATGTATACAATAATAACAAAAAAGTTTTTGAGTTATTCGGAATTTAATTTTACCATCCTTCGTAACTTTTTTTCCAGGTTCTTTTCGTTGAAGTATGTTCTATAGATATATTTTATGGGTGTCTGGAAAATGACTTTGAGTAAGTTTCATTAAAATCGGTGCATTCGTTTAGGAGCTACAGTCTATTGCAACTCAGGTTTTTCGGCCGCCATTTGGACAGTAAAAGGCGAATAGTAAGATCGATGAAGGAGGATCATCCTCGGGTGACTACTTTTATATCCAAATTTGAAAAAAATCGGTCCAGTAGTTTCGGAGAAAATGCGCGGACGGCGGACTGCGGACGGACAAAAAATTTTTTATTCGTTTTTCGAATTCTACGCATCCTGAAACGTGAAACTTCAAATTTTGAGAGGAGGTTAACTTTTTGGCAGATCACAATGGTTGATTATTGAAAATAATAAACCAAAAACTAAACATATATATGTGTGTGTGTATATATATATATACATATGTATAACTTATATATGATATAACATGTATAATACTAATAAATAATAATATATAATAACTAATAATATAATAATATATAAATTTATTTTTTTATTTGGTATTATATTGTTCGTTTTACATTAATTATGTTGATTACCATACAGAATTTTTATTCATAAAATAAACTCGAGACTTTTTTTAGGACGGATTGCCACGCCCCACACTTGGCCGAGTAAGGAAAAACTTCGGAAATCTGCTAAATCTTTTTTTTTAGAACTCTAAAAACTAGATATACTTTTTTATTGAAACCTTCTAAAATTTGTGAGAATATTTTTAGTCGGCAGAGTAAACATTTTTCACTGTTTTTATTAGCTAGTTTAATTGAAGACCAAATAAATAGAATTAGCCGATGTTGCGAGTTTTCCATAACTCGTTCCACTGTGCGCCCCGCCCCCAATCCAATCAGTATGTTAAGTATATCCTCGAACGAACCACTGAAACTTTCGGATGTTTACGTACATGATACGAGATCTACATACTAGGAGCCATAATATGCAGTAGAAGGTACCTCACTACTGCATCAAGTTTGAATATTCGTGGACGCCGATTTACCTAAAAATCTAACAAGGTTTTTAAGTAGATAGATATATTTTCTAGTCATATAGGAGGAACATATAGAATTATATTTATAGTCGATTTTTTTTAATTAAATACTTTTTATTTTGATGAGAAGGATGGTTGGGGTGATCAGTTTAACATTTGCCGACGTTTCGACCTGAAGTTCAGGCTTTCATTAGGGCTAAGAGAAGAACCAGATAACAAGGTAAGAGAAACATAAATAATGTAGGTAAAAAAATTAAAGTAAAATGAAGTGGGTAGAATAATGACTATAGTAAGAACTAAGAGATAAATAATAACAACCGTTACTAAGTGTGGAATGATGAAGTAAACATAATCAAAAAAGGTGACATAAGTATTAAAAAGGTAATCTTAGAATAAAATGTAAATCAGAAAAAAGAAATATGAAGTTATACAAGAAATGAAAATAAACAGTAAAATTAAGATATTGCAAATAGAATAATTAGATAAAAAATTGAGATTTTGGAAAGTCTATCAAAATGTACTGACAACGTCTAATAGAATACAGACTTAAAACAGAGAAAAGGAATGAAAAAAAGGGGAAAAAAAGACAAGACTGAAATAAGAATGAAAAATCGACCTCTTCCGATAGCTGACAGGAATAGTGTGGAGATATGGTAGCAAGGGAGAGGGGAGATGTCAATTTTTATTTTGACGTTTTCAAGAATTGACAATATATATTCAGCACATATGATCACGCCCCGATGCTGCGAGAAGACTAATGGCAGAAGTCAAAATAGTCAAGAGGCGTTAAAAAAAAAAAAAATAAACAAAAAAAAAAAGAGAAAAAAACAAATGATCACACGAACTTACACGTGATATGATTTGAAAACAACAAAACATTGAAAATACTCTTACACTTTCTTTTGAGCTCGAACTGTTTTTCCAAAACGTGTACCTATACGTTTTGGCGAATAGATTAAACATAATTTTTACAATAATTTGTCAGTGCTCACAGTAATTTGAGACCTCATACTTAAAAATCGGTCCAGCCATGCTCAAAACCTCATTAGATAGGAGCGGTAAAATTTATACCTTTGGCATCGCTGTAGACGTGTAAAAATAATCAAAATCGGGCATGTCTTTCTTGTCATATATTAAAGGGTAGCCCGAAAAAGGCTCTAATAATTAAATTTATTCCAGATAAAAACAGAAATATAAACAGGAATTATATGTGTTGTGGTATAGAGGTGCCCATACTCCACTGTGCCCCCAAGGTCAATGGCGCAAGAACCTTTTCGATCCTATGGAGAGCTCGGTTAGATAATTTAAGTATCCTTATAGTGTAACTGCAATATTTCTGGTGATTTTAAGTTTTTGGTACAATTTTTAAACAATTATGCTAATCATAATTTGAAATGTTTCTAAATTTCCTTCAAAATGAAAAAAAAAAAAATAGTTGAAATTGCACTATTATATTTCAATATTGGTTATTTAAATTTATGAAAATATATACGTTTTAGTTCGGACCATTATTATTTGAACACATGTTTTGGCTTATTATTTTAAATAATGAACCAACGGAATCGATTGTGAAAAAAATACAAGGAATGATTTCTATTCTGAAAATTTATTGCATTTAGTTATTTCCATATTTTGTTATCATTTGATTACTGACAAATATATTAAACAAATTACAAGTAATAGCCAATTTCTTTTTATTTCGAACTAAGGATCATAGACGATTATCAGATTTTTTTTATTATATTATTGTAATTATGAACAGAAAAATCAGTTATTGATTATATAATAGGCAAATGCGTTTTACGTGGCACTATTGAAAGTATATCACTCATTACAGAACAAGAACAATAAGTAAAACAATAACAAAATAAATATATATAATCATTATGAGATTTTTTAAATTAATCCTATCAATAAAAACATCTTCAAAAAGCTTACACTTATTTTATTTCGAACTACAATCAATCATTAGCCAATATTTATCAGTTAAAGTTTTTTTCACGAACAATTCAAAAATAGATGTAGATAATATTTATTTACATCCTTCATATTATTTTATTTTTGTTTCTAAAGTATACTAAAGTTATATTTGTTTAATAAAATCAGGTGATTAGAAATTTAGAACTTTGAACATCGGATGCTCCTGGACTTTGTTCAATAGGTGTGCTCAAGTGCTTGCCTCATCATAAAACGGTGATTGGCATTGGGATAGTGCTGATAAGGGTTATCTGATAATTAATAAAAATCCACTTAGGGAACTATCGAATAGATTTATAATGTAATAATAGGTACTTAAAGACTCAAATAATTTGTTTTAAATTGGGATATTTTTTTTTTCAATCATATACTAAATACAACCTTGACAAAATGTAAATTATATCTCTATCCCAGATTAATATGCCATTTTTAAAAAATAAATTGAATTGATGATATTTTTTATAATATTTATTTATGTTTAAATTAAAACTATGCGTGGATCACAAATATACTTGGAACTTTAACTATAAATAGAAAATTGTGGGATTCGATTGATAATTGTGAAGCTTCAGGCATCGACTTCTGCATTGTTTTTAGATCTAAACTTTTATTCTAAAAAAATCTTATTTTTTCTTAGCTTTCGTTATGTATTTAAAAGTTATACTGAACCAATTATATTCTTCTCTGAGTTATATTATTGAGTTTTTTTTTTTTTTATCCTTAATGTATGTTGCCATAAATATAGTTTATTTCAATACAATTCATGTTTGATTTATGACACAATTCTGTATATCCTACGATTTAGGGCTGTGTAGATGGATGTGTGTACATTATGTTCTGGCACGAAAGGTAATAACGTTGAGGGGGATCTAAATGGTAGAGGTATTGAGCGTCCTTCTATAGAACTATATCCCAAGGCTTTTCTTCTTTCAAATATATTTATTTATTTAAATGAAATTCACAACAGCAGTGTGTGTATATATTATTCCAATTGCATCTAACGAATATTGTATTGTTGTCCCTGAATTTCCCAATTGTTAATATATAAATATTGTTTAATATTTGTGTTCATTTTTAATATTTATATTTTTATTTTCTATTACGGTATTTATCGAGGCATATATTTTTGCTTAAAGGCATAAATCTGTATCGGTTGCTATGTGAGTGTTTTAATCTCATAATTTAATTTAATTTAATAAGCCATTGATTTTTTTTGTGGTAGATTTCAAAGTTATATTAGACTCAACCAAATATGTACAATATCATAGTGCTAAATTTGTATTATATAGTAATTCTGTATGTTTGAGGATATGAAAAGTGAGAGTAAAATAAAATAACGTGTTTAGTACAAAAAGGAATATACAAATACGCAGTGTATCTCTCTCTCTCTCTCTCTCTCTCTCTATATATATATATATATATATATATATATATATATATATATATATATATATATATATCATAAGAATATTAATATTTATTTTATTTAAAACATATTTGTTTAGATAGACACAGATATGACTAACCCCCGAGTTATTTAAGTTCAAGTTTATTTCTGGTATATAAATAAAATAAGCGTTTTAATGCTATGCACATAATAATTAAGTTTGAAAAAATAATAATAAACCCACTGCAGCTGCGGCTTAAGGATTTCAATGCTAGTGGAAAGTTACCACACTTCGACGATCTCCTTTCATGTTCTTTAGTAGGTCACTTAATCATTCTTGTCACTTTAATCTATTGCCATTCTGTTTTAATTGGGATGCTCCCTGCTTATTTAAAGTATTAATTTGTATGAAGAAGGCAAAATAATATTATTATTTTTAACTGTGATGCAACCTTCTTTTTCCTCTTTGTTATTAATATTGAGACTATTTTAAAACTACTAATGAAACTGTTTGTATTCAAATCGCAGCAATGACCTTTCTTCACGTGATCGAGAACTGCGAAACGCAATATGATCGTGTGAGTTAGCATTATAACGTGCACTTAATTTCACTTGTATTTCACTTTAATAACACTTGTATATAAATACATACATATATAATTTTGTGAGTCGGTTTCAACAAATTACATGGTTATGAATTGAAATAAATAAAAAATAAAGGTAATATGACAAAAACAAAACAAATATTAATTTTCAATCAATCCAATACGAACAGAGGAAACAAGGTTAGGAACGAGAAGGTTTGAATGGTTCTGAAGTTTATTATGGGAGGGTATCTGGATGGGGCCAAATCGTAAACATGTGGTATTTAAGGTCATTATGGATGATTTTATTTGTGACAAAGTAAGGAGCATTGAGGATTTTACGACGAATTTAGGATTGTAAGGATTTGATATGAAAGGAATTCGCTGATTTAGTTGATCCCCAAAGCTCAATTCCGTAATCCAAATAGGCCTTATTATAGTCTTATATAATAAGTCTTGTAATTATTAGTAGTCGGAAATGTCGAGCGGTTTCTTGTCGTTTTATTCTTGTATGAGGGTCCAAGCGAAAAGCTTGTCCAGGTCGAGGTGGAGTCCTAGGTTGAGTATGCGTTTTAAATTAAAGTTTCGAATACAATCTAAAAGCAGTATAAATACAACTTTCTTTTCCAAAAGTTTACTGCCTACTTAATCATTTCATATTCATCACTTAAACATTTCATATTCATCAATGCTTGATAATAACTCATAGTTGATATAATAGACACACAATAATTCAATTGGTAAACATTCATTTAATTTTTATATGGTTTTTGATGGAATTGATTTCTCGCCGGTTGGAGAATAATTCTGAAAGTGTCTCCAACTTTGAGGCAAGTTGAACGAGTTGCTTTCAAATTATATGCATAACAAGAAATTGTTTGAGCACCCTATGGACCTAATCGAACCAAATTGAGTTTTTGAAATATAGACGCATCAAGGGGTATATATATTTCCGGGCACAAAAGATGCGGTAGGGAAATGAATCCGTTAAAACTTACAATGCATCATTTTTTCGCCATTCCCAAAATGTCTCCAATCTTAAGTCAAATTCAAGTAACCGTACTTGAGAGATAAATTATTATTATAACAAATGATTATGATGAGTATTTGACCTACATAACGAGTATTGAGATATTTTCCATCAATAATAATCTGCTAGGTTTTATAGTGCGTTGGGTACTTGTAAAAATAAAAAAAGAATTTCGTTAAGTCTGTTTTGAGATTGCTTCAGAGAGTCTTAAAACTCACTTAGTTTTGAAGAAATATTTTTGAAAAAAAAAGCGGCTATTAGTATTTTTAATAATATAACATAATAATATAAGATTGTGAAGATCTATAACTAATTTTTTTTTTTAATTTCAATTACGTTAATTTGTAAGATTGTTAAAAAAATAGCGAAAACATATGTAAAGCCATGGATTTCCGCCAGTTTTTTCTTGTATTAAGTGAAACTGCCTAGAATTTATAAATGATTGGTACCGATCCGCCAGCCGCTTTGGGCGTGCGTGCACACATACACGCAAACGAATTCTTTTCCAAAAGGGGAGGGATTTGAAGGGAGGGGTCCTCGTCTCTTCTCTGTCTAACACCTTATTGCTATGTAGCTTTGTATCTCTGTCATGTCCTTGTCAATTCAAGACCACGGATACTTACATTATTCATTCATTATCAATTCACTTCGTCAAAATATAAGATGGGATAAAACATTATGACAAAACCAAATCTGGTAATACATAAAAGTCTATATTTTAATTAACAAAGCTTAAAAAATGCATACAGCATCGAAGTATAATCAAAATGTAGAATTTATAACAAAAAGTCGAATAATCAAATATAAAGATTTTTTTTTTCATAGCCCCTTATTTATTTTCTGGTGTGTTTGCAGTGCGTCTCGAAAATTCTCTTGTATATTTGCAACATAAGGAGGTCTATTTCAATTTTTTTCATAGTATTTTAAATGTTTTACCTTAATATTATTATATCTATTTACACTTAAGTTTATGCCTCACAGGTCTGTATAATAAAAATTAAAATTAATTTCTGATAATTATTTATTTTACGTTTCGGGGAATCTATGTCTCCCTCTTCAGCAATATTCCACTCTCCCAAAAAAATATTGAGTAAGTCAGTATGTAAGCTTATCAAACATTGAACCAAACTTATTACAATATATTGACTTACCCAAAAATTTTATGGAGAATAAAATATTGCAGAGCAGGAGGACACAGATTCCCCGAAACGTATAATATATAATTATCAGAAGTTAATTTTGATTTTCGTTATACTGACCTATGAGGCATAAACTAAAGTGTAAATATATTTCATTATTTTTCATCTTGTCAGTATTTATGATACCATTTCTATACAATGTGGCTCACCCTTAAATGAAAAAATGAAAGATATTATTACAATCCACTTTGATGTTTGAATGTACAAAATATACATCGAGTGTCTCAATAAGAATAATTATAAAAAACAAGTGGATTTCATAGTTTAATTTTCTAACGCATTGTTTGAAAAAATCGATTTTACCGATTAATCGCAATTATATAAAGAAATATAAGAAATACATGGATATATAAAATTACTTAGCCAAAGAAATCAAATATTTTCACTCACAAAATTCAGAGAGGGAAACAACCTACTTCCTTAAACCATATTAGTATTCAATAACTACTTTTAGCATTTTGAGATACTTAGGCGCATACCAGTAAATAAATTTGACTTGAATTACTATATGAATAAATAGGTATATCTGACAAAATTCTTGAATCCTGATTTATGTACTTATTAGTGACCTCAATCTTTTCTGAGTTACTATAGTAGACAATCAAATAATAAAATATGCAACATAAGCTGACTGAAAACAAAGTGACAAGTATGAATGATTGAGAAGGTGATAAATTTCACGAGATAAATCAAGCGATAGAAAATTGAAGCTGTTAGACCAACACTTACCTTATCACCGATTCCAACATATGCTAAATGAAAAATCAAAATACTAACAAAAAAAAAAAAAAAAAAAGAACCACATACTAATAAAATATGTGGAATAAGTAGACATGGCTATTAATGTTATGAAGTGACTAAAAATAAAAATAAAAACAGTAACTCTCTTTGTTAATGATACACCCGAAAAAAGATGCTGCTATTGGACATTCAACTATATTTTCCTCTGACATTTTATTCCATCTTAAAATTAGCGAAGATTATTATTCTCTAATCCTGCTAATCAATTTTTTAAAACGGAAATATAAGGTATTTTTCTTTATTATTAACCATTTCATTAAAATGATATTTTAAATATTTACCGAAATTAATAGTTATTACATTTCAAATGTATTCAGTGGAATCAATACATTTGCAAATGTTCAATTTAATAGTCAATTCATCTAAGAAGTGTAAATATTTATTCTAATTAAGGTCGGTGATCGCAACTAACTCGAGTAAATAATTAAGAAGAAATCCCAAACACTGATATAAAACTCTTTGTATTGAGAACATATAGATAACAACGTTTATGTGAATCTTATGTAATGCTTGTAAAGGAAAGAAAAACATAAGCCCCAGTAAAGGAAGAAGGAGGGAAGAAAACAGCTGTAGGGAGGGAGCAAGTTGGGAGGAGTTGCGTGACGGGAGGCACGAGGAACAGCCGTGCTCCCTCGACCTCATCATTATCAATGTCAACGCAATCGGATCAAGGGTACCTCCCGTCTGGGGATACCTCCTCCTCCTCCTCCTCGAGGGTTCCTGGGAGGGAGGGAGGGAGGAAACCTATATCACTTATATTTAGTGGAGCCATATCGTGGAATGTCGTTATTACGATAACTTCTTAAAATTGTCTTTGAATATTTTTTTTTATTTTCACTTTTCTCAACAGCCTAAGACAAATATAATGGATTAAAAATACTTTTTCCACATTTCAGTTTATTTTCCTAATTATAACAAATTTACTTTATCTCCAAGAAAGACCTGTTGTTCCTACCTACCTTGAGTTGGACGGAAATCGTCGAATTGACAACTAATTTTTTATATAATCAAGTATAATGATTATTTTTTTTGTCATTAGTCGCAACTAATATATAATAGTTAATTGGAATTTATTTGGTTTTCATAGTTCCTTTAAGCGAGTAACGACTAAAAGTTTATGATTAATATTTTGAAGAACGCCTTCAATACTGCAAACATGATCTGACTATGCCCCACATGTTTGGGTTTGAAACGTCTGCAGGAATAAAAAAATATCAAAAATGCCTGATCATTTATGATTATTAATTTCCTGTGATTAATATTTTTATTAATATATAATTATGGTATAGTTTTATTAATATTTTAATTTGAAAAATTTATGATTATTTGATATTGCTATGTATTGAACGTAGAGAATAATCTTTTAAAATAGGCTGACACCAAACACATCTGCTGAGATCAAAGGATAGCGTCAGGGTGGAGAACAGATAAATTAAGGACAAATGGCTCAAGAGAAGGCCTTTACTCAGAATAACTGGTAACTAGTAACGGGTTAAGTAACTGGTTCCAGTAACTGGTGGCCAGTTTAAACAAACACCCGAAGTTCTGAACCAATCAAAACCATCCTTGCCCCACCCTGAATATATGTATAAAATCCAGCAAGAAGTAAGAAAAGGAGGTCTCATGTCTTTTTCCGGCCTTGAAGACTGAAGATGCAGTCTTTCTTTTCTATGTAGCTCTATTAATTCAATGTAGCTTGGCGCTACATTGGCCGTGAAGACGGACGTCTTGGCCGAGTTTGGACATGGGCTTGACAAGATGACCTCGGATCAGCAGATGCAGTGATGAAACCTACTGACTACATCACGTCACATACCATAGCTAAGTTGTAATTCCCACTCCTAATGTTAAAATATTTCATGGCAATAATTCTCAAACAGCCCATCTGAAATCATACCTTCACAGTCATTGATTAAATTCATTGAATCATGTATTTAGTTTCTTGTAAATATAATTTACATATATAGTTAATTAAATATATGAAAAAAACTAAGTTTTTTAGTAAGAGTTATTTTAATTCTGCCACCCATTTATAGCATGATGATCACAGGTTATATTGGTAATTAGAAAGCATGATAACCACAAACCAGCCTTTGAGAAAATAATCCAATTAATTAATCCTGGTCCAATCAATATATTATAGATCCAAATTTATTTAACTAATTTTTTATTATTAATTTTTATTAAACATTTCTGAGTAATTATCCTGAATAATTATTCAGTGGCATCCCCAGTAATTTTTACTGCAAAACAAAGCAATATAAATTTTATTAATATTCTCATTCATGATTAATATTGAATATTATCATGGTTAATAATTTAAGATTAATGATTGATATTAATATAAGAAGACTAACAGTTATCTCTAGATCAGTAGTCAAATACATCAGCTGTTCTGGCAAACTTGTTTGTTCCGTGTTATGGCAAAAGCAAACACCTATTTTCCCTATTTCTACATTACAGAATGTTTGTGTACAACCTGAATTTCAATACAGAAAATTTTAATCATTTATTTATAATCAAACTGTAAATGTACTTAAAACTAAATCTCTTCTCTTTAGTATAAAAAGAAAATCACATAGCTGACAAAGATACTAAATTCTATGTATCGAGAGTGTTGATGGATGAATCGAAATATATTTAATTTATTAAAAATAAGTGAAATCAGCCAATTGCAGGAAAAATTAAATATTTCCAACACAAAATATTGGAGGTAGATTTGAAACAGAGTATTGATAACGCTCCTTATCTGCTGAGGCTCGCCTCTCGGAGATGGTTATTGACCAGCAACCCGTTTAGGGGATAATGCAGATAAACATGGAGTATTTCAAAGGTGAAAACAATCTGAAACTCTTTGGATTCGAAAGAATAAGAGAAGCAGAGGAGATGGCCCCCCTTGGAGAGCCGAAAAAGAAGTGAGAAAAAATTAAATAAATATGTTTTTGGACGGAACAAGACAGTTTCCGAACAAGCAAACATTGGAGGAGCAGTCTAATGGAGTTCCTTGAAGAAGAAAGGAGACTGGGAGTAGACTTCCTGGTAGTTGGTTTTTCAGTGGGGAAGTTAGTTGGAGATAAGATTGGAGGCAAATCACCTAACCTTTTTCCTTAATTAACTAACCTCAATCTCATATATCACAGATGGGGAGACTGTGGTGCCTTGCTTATTCGTATTAAAAATATAGTTTGCATATTTTTAAACAGATCGGTTCTTTTCTTGAATCGATAGAGATAGAAACATATTTTCATTTACGATAATTCAAATTTTTTTATAAAATTATTAACTCTCGTCTAAAACTTTCCGAATGACTTTATTTGATTGAAACCTACATTTATATCTACCGAAATTCTCAGAAATGAAGTTTCCTATGTGGAGAACGATAAAATTTGTTAATTTAATGAATAGGGGTACCCAGAAAGAGATTTCAAGGTTATTCCTACAGCATGTTTGGGAGGGCACATTTTGACATGGTTTTGAATATTTCAGGAGAACATATTTATGCACCGTCGACATCGGAAGGGTAGGACCCCTGTTATAGAGGTACTAGAAACCCATGAATACCCATCTGCTTTCCACTTTAATGGGAAGATAATTTTATCACAAAACCGCGGTGGTCTTCAAATATTTGGGCCTGATATAACCTCGTTATTTTGACATGTAGGAGGTGTAAGTCACGCCTAACAGATATCATTCTAGGCAAACTTTTTTTTCGATCATATCATCTTATGATTCAAGTGAGCTACAATCATTTCAATCCAAAATTTTAAGACTAATAACAGCTGCTCCCTGGTATGTAAACAACAAAACTTTACATACCGACCTACAACAACTTACTATCGATCAAATCTCTACTTCCGATTCCATCTTAAACTACACGGTCATCACAACGGACTTATTGACGACATGGCCACAGCTGACATGTCCATCAGGAGACGATTAAAGAGGAGCTGGATGAGAGATCTCCTTTCCAAAATTATGAAGTAGACCAAGACCAGGAAGAGGTAATGCTGGGAACTAATCTTCCTCATGCCTTAAATGACAATTTTCTTCACTATGAGAACATATCTGCTTATTGTCAATTCTATGACAGGTGTGGATAGAAGTATGAAGAGAGAAAAGAAAAAAAAAGTGAGCAGCAAATAGCTAGATGTTCAGGAGTTCATTATATATGTATTGCTTTATTATTTTCAATAATCAGCCATTGTGATCGACTAAAAAATTCAAAAACTTAACCCCGTCTCAAAATTTGAGGTTTCACGTTTCAGGATGCATAGAATTCGAAAAACGAATAAAATGTTTTTGTCCGTCCGCCGTCCGCCGTCCGCGCATTATCTCCGAAACTACTGGACCGATTTTTTTCAAATCTTGATATAAAATTAGAGTTCACCATAGGATGATCCTCCTTCATCAACATTACTATCCGCCTTTTACTTTCAAAACCTGCGTTGCTATAGACTGTAGCTCCTAAACGAATGTACCGATTTCAATGAAACTTCGCTAAAGTCATTTTCTCGACGCCCTTTAAATTTATCTATATAACATACTTCAGCGAAAAGAAGCTGGGAAAAAAGTTACGAGCGAGGGTAAAATTAAATTCCGAATAACTCGAAAAGTTTATACTTTTTGGTGATATTGTATATAGTTTTTTTAAAGTTTACAAAATTTCCTAAAAAACCAAAAAAAAATCGTTAAAATCAGGTAATTAGGAGCAAAGATATAATCTCTATTTTTGTTTATTTTTTGTATGTTCTACTGCAAAGATTCCTTTGTTTTGAATTTTCAATTTTGAAATTGTTACTGAAGTGATGCTAGTTTTTTCAGCGTATTACTAATGATTAAAAAAAAAGTTTAATCCAATAATTGGAATCACCTTTTTTTTATTTTTCTTTGTAACTAGGAAGGTAATGTTACGTTAGATGTACAATTGTTTGGAAATAATAAACCATTGTGAATTAATTTGCAGCGTTTTTTTTTTTTTTTTTTTTTTTTGTCACATATAGCATGTATAATTGCCGTTACTTTTTTTTTTTTTTTTGTCCTTCATACATTTATTTATCATTATTAACTGACAACTGCATTATTCAGTAAATGATATGAATAAAACAGAAAATTAAGACGTGCAGGTATGAGGAAGGAGAGTATCTAGCAGCACCTCTTCCCTTGCTTGATTCAATTATTTCGGTCGATTAAGGAATGAGATCTCTCATCCAGCTCCTCTTTATTCCCCTAATCATATTAATGGGTGTATTCCTCAATAAATTAACAATGTTTACCAATCTCCCAAATTGGAAAGGCCCCATTTCCGAGTATTTTGGTAAATAAAATGTTGTAAGTCATTCACTAATTTTGAAACCAATGTTATTAATTAGAAAAACACTCCAATCTCTGATTTTTGAATTATTAAAGAATAAAGTATCACTAATAAACACTCTAAGACGGATCCCGTTGAAAGATAATGGAGTACTTTGTTTACTGAAGGAGGTGGCCAGAATAAATAACGAGGGCCATTACTCAAGATGACTAGTGGATGATAGCCGTGCTCCCCTGACAGCTAAGCCCTACGCTACTGTTATTTTTTACCAAAAGGCACTATCTTGACAAAAAAAGCCTAGTTGGGGCAGGCTGGAACACGTGGGCGGCACATGACCAACTATTGTTTTCGGCCCGCATCTCCGCCTATATTTAGTCTTGGGTCAAGGAACCTCTACGAAACCGGCATGCTCTTTAATGCGGGCTACTCTTGTCACCGTCTAAAAACAATATATTGTAATTGAACTAAGAGGAAATTGCCATTTAGAACATGAGAGGTAAATACAATTATGCAATAATGCAAACAACAAAATTTCACAGCTCAGTTAATAATATATTTCTATTTAGTATCGAAAATATCTGTAGCACCACTCAATTATTTCCTTAATGCTACAAGTACAAAATCTAACAGGAAAATTGTTTATTGCAACATCGATCCACTTAAACTTTGATTTAATTTATATATTCTATATAAATTCAATATTTTATACTATATGATATATACGACTGAGAAACGTAATATACACTTACGATCCTATTCATTATCCAACTCGAGAAAATATTCCAAAGAGTTATGCAATAATGATGTTTTGAACAGTTTTTTTTTAACATCTGATAACATCTAATCTAATGTTAAGACATATCCCAAAAATACCGCAATATTTTTTTTTTTAAAGTGACTTTAGAACTTTTGCTGCATTTTGAAAATTCAAATAAAGAAAATTATGTTGAAGAATCCTAAATACTTTCAATTCTTACTTTGAAATTATTTTAATTTTTTCGAATATCTCGATTGCTGATAATCTCTGTTATGTACGCATTTTAATCAAATTATTAACAGCCGCCTGAAACTTCAAGAATAGCTTCTTCTCATCGTAACTTACAACTTATATGTTTATAAAAATTCATGATAGTGAAAATTGCTATCTTTATCTAATTAATGAAGTACTAAAAATTCCTAAATACTCATTTGCTGTCCACTTGAATCGTAAGACAATCTGATCAGAAAGTCGAGAAAAAAGGTGGCTTACTAATATTGGGCTTACTAATAATAATACTGGGCCCTTCGCCGTGACCTCCACCCCAACATGTCAAAATAACGAGGTTATATAGCTCAAACGGCCCAATATTATTGCATGCCACATTTTTTATTTTGTGATCGCATTATCTTACGATTGAAGTGGAAGAAAATCTGTATTTACGAGTTTTTAGTACCTAATTAAATAGACAAAGTTTGCCGATCTCCAAATTGAAAACTCCCCAATTCCGAGAATTTTCTTATATAAAAATGTTGTAGGTTACGAAGAAATGAAGTTTTAGGAAGTATCATACGGATATTAGTAATTTGATTAATAGTGGTTTATAAGTACAGCGGCCTATAAGTATATCTCTCAGATTATTCTGATGTTTTTCGAAACATAATGAAATTATGGTAATAAAAAATAAATAAATAATTATAGAAAATTTGATTAATTCAGACTCATGTATATTATTGATAGTGCTCAAAAATGAATAGGGATATTTTTAGTTATGTATGATTTATTTTCCCTAGAATTTTTATTTTATTTTTATCATATAATAAATAGAAAATTAATATAAATAATATTGTATTTGATTACGGGTAATTAAATTAAAATTTGTTTTAAAAATCAATAAAAGTAAAGATTTATGTGATCTTGTTTTATGATTGCGAATTGTAAACATTATGTAAAATTTAATAATTTGTGTAATATCACCTGTTACACACTTCCTTTCTGCACCTATTTAGCTTAATCTTTATAATATTATCACTGATTTCGCAAGGAATTTTATACCTTTAACATGATAATACTGCTCTCAATTGTTTAAGATTAAGAAGCTGCAAATGGTAGTCAAAAAGCCTTCTCTGTAATGTATATCACTTGTGCTTGATTTAGACAATACCCGAAGGGGCAGATATGAAATGCGAAGATTTTCAAGACATTTATGAACGTCTTTTCCCCTATGAGATCTAATATTTTCGTCAAGAAAATGTAAATCTGCGAAAATTATGGCCCTCGTTTGAGAAATGTATTCCTCTATAATTTCTTTAATGTGACGAACTGCAATGAGATTATCTTGCACAATATGGAATAGAGTCCTTCCTCCTGAATAGATTGCACTTTTAGACAGCATTGAATGAACTGCGATATCCACTTGCCGATGCGAACTTCTGGTTTAGTATGTTCGTTAAACTGGATTAAAATTGAGAAAATTCTAAAACAACGATTAGTTCACAAAATGAGTTCTCTTCATATTGACTTTCTTTTAGTTAATAATTTATTAGTAATAAAGAATATTTGTTGTTTACTTTTTATGTTTTAACAAACAAAAGAAACAACAAAAATAAAAGAATCCCTAACGAACAAAGAAAAATAATTAAGAAGCTGTAATAATAAAATAATTAAATTTTAATTTAATCGAATAAAATAAACATCAAATAGGAATATTCCCATTCATTTTTGTACAGTATACTATGTAATATAATAATGTATTTTATCATGATGTAACAACTAAGAAAATCGTATAAGTGTATCTATAAATACCACTTCTGCAAAACAATAGATATTTATCGGTTCCTTCTATACGTTTTTCATTATTTCACAAAATTCTTCCCACCCACCATACTCCAATGCTATATTGTTTTAAAATATGTTCTAAAAGGCTGAGATAGATTTAATAAAATAAACTTATGAAGATACAATGGAAGGTTTTCCAAATTAACAGATAAACCGATAAAATACAGGAGTTATAAATATTATTAATTAAGCACAGTAAATGAGACGAATATAATAACAGAAATTAAAAAATAAGTGCTTGAAACCAAACTATGGTGTATTGTTTATTTTTTTCAGAACTGTTGTGATGTAAATTAATAAAAATAGCATACATTACATATTTCACATACATCACACATTCAAATTTTTGTTTAAACTTTATTTATTTTTTATAAAACAAATGCTATTGCTTAAGCTAATTACAGATTTAAAGTAATGTTAGGTTAGAATAACAAAATAAAACCTTCGTTCTACTTTAGCAACCAAACGAACTTAAAATTTAGCCTCAGACGGCAAAGTACACGAAGTGCGAAGCCTATTAAAATAAAGAATTTCCGAGTGAAAAAGCTATCCAGGTATTTCGATCTACTGTGCGGGCTTAGTGTACCTTGACGCCCGAGAGGTACACCTTAAGGTCACGAAAATTGGTTGGCCGTCTCGTTACCCATTATAACATGGATTATTACAAACACATTAGTTATATCAAAATGGAGTCGAAATAATGTTTCTTTGGCTTTTGAGTTTTTAACTTGAAAAATTGATTATCAATCACAGTGCAGTGTATCAATCTACCTGCTTAGTGAATCTGAAAAAGATCTATGAAAGAATCAGAAAGGAAAACATTGTACAAGCTCTTCAGAAAAAGTATTACAATTGGAACAATTCAAGGTGTAAGGCAATGAGCAGATTGATTTTTGTAAGTAAAAACTTCTTTAAGCGCGGTTTGCACTTTTTTGTGCAGAGTGAATTAGAACGATCCGTCCGATTTTCGATGTGTATCGCTCGGGTAAAGTCGGCTGGAGTCGACTAATTGAAGTGTTTTGTATATGGATTAAAATATCTCAACAATCGTTCATCAACAAATTGACACACAATATCATGACATAAAAATTTTTCAAAAAAATAGACATAGACGATTTCAAATTCGCCCTCAAACCCAAACATCCTATACGGAACTTACTGACGAAGACAAAATACCCAATACATATCCAAAACAATAGAAATTTAATTTATGACATCCTCTGTAAAAATTGCGACAAAACATAAAGAGGAAAGACTTCGACCGATATAAAAACCAGAATATATAACCACAAAAACACCCTTAAACCTAATTTAAAAACAGTTACCGCTTTATCAAACCATGCAAAAAAAACATAGATATGAAATAGATTTCGAAAATTTTAAAATACTTCATAAATCAAACTACCGATCAAAGCTAAACATTTTAAAATCCATCTATGTAGCAATAATAATAGTAAATTAAATAAGGTAGGGTAACTTAAGTTACCAAATAGTTACCGGTATAGAGGATGCTGACAGTAAATCCTCAGCACTCAGTAAGATGGTGTTGGACAAAGATGAGTCCTATTGTCTGAGAAAACTTACACAAGACGAAGAACAAGAACACTTTATGAACATCCTTTATGTTTTTTAAATAGACAAAACTAATAAAAGGCATAGCATGATCTGATAATAATTGCTTGACATTTTAAAAATATGTAATACATGTTATTAATTAACTGTTAATTTATCCTGATTGGAGTATTATAATTATAGAGATGGATATGGTGCATGGACACCGAAAGCTTCTCTACAAATACAGTTTTAAAATAAAATAGAGACTGTCAATGGTAAAAAAAAAAACTGAACTTATATCAAAAACTGAAAATCGGACCTGCATATTGTTAGCAAAGTAATTTTTCAGCATTTCATCCTTTCTTCAATGAGCTACTATTCAAAGCTGTATCTTAACGCGACACCGTGTTAAGGAAAGGTGAAAAGGGAAAAACATAGTGTCGAAAACTAAATTATAGGGAATTTTATTGAAGATGTGAATTTAAACATCTCAGAAACTAAAAATCGAACCTATTAATCTCGCCTTGTCGATGTTTTCTATAGTGGAGTCGAATACACACACCTCAGATTTTTTTTTAATTATTAAGCTGAACAGCCCGGTAACTATTCATTATATGTAATTCAGATTGAGCATATATTTTAAGTATATAAATTCTCATATTTGTAGTATACATGGTAGAAATTAACGAGAAAGCTTAAAGATAGAAACTGCTAAATATTTGTGGAACATCATATAACATTTAAATAATATAATACCTTAATACTGTTTCAAATGATACTGAAACTCCCCTGGAAGACATCCTCTTGAACAAATGCCAACATTCTCGCTCTTTTGCCGATTTGAAAACCTCCTTTTCTACTTCTTCATCAGCATTATCATTGAAAGTAACTACCGCTTCAGCCTTCGGTTCTTTTATTGGTTCCGTTTTGGTGACTTCCACTGATACCTCTTCTCTGAAAAGAAGTTGAAATCATACATTTTTTTTATGTTTATTTTAAAGAAGTAAATAATTGCTGGACTCACCAATAAATAAATGTTAATAAATATTGACGGCAAAAGCAACATACATAACCATTGCTAATAATTACTGAAAGATCGAAATATAATCGTTAGCTCAACGAATACTAAGTTAATGTTTTTTTGTAATTTACCAACAAAAATTTGTGATGCTTTGTATGAGTAGGATATCATAGAGAAGTCTTTACTAGATTCTGTACTCGCATTTTGTAATCATATCTTAATATCCTTACTGATGTCATATTCTATATTTCACTATAAATATTTTATACTGTGGATATCCTAATATTTACAGTTCTATATTTTGAATATGTAATGTATAATATTTTTTACTGTGGATATTTTATACTATCACTAACATATTTATACTAATACTTAAATATTCTGAATGCTCCATTTTACACTATTACATATTTATTTACAGCTTTAATGTGTTTACTACATTTGTGGTGTATAGTACTTGTGATGTTTTATAAACATCTAGCATGTAAATTTGGCATCCAGGTCCCCTGTAATTATCCATAAAGAAATAAGTTTTTTTCTAAAACAAAACATAACCTCAACTTTACTAATATCCGATTTATAAAATAAATTAAAATCTTTTATACAACAGTTTTATAATATGCACTATGGAATCCAGGATTTAATTTTTTTTTTGCAGGTGTCTTCAGCCAGAAAACTTATATATATATATATATATATATATATATAATATATATATATATATATATATATATATATATATATATATATATATACATATAATGATAATTACTCAGGAAGAAACTATATGAAATGGTGTAAAGCCCAGTAAATTTAGGATTTGATATCAAGAAAATTATAGAAAGGGTTAAATATGGGCCACCTAGCACTTCCAGTCTTATTTCATGTCTTGCCTCATATCAAAATCAAATACCATCGTCCTTGAATATCAAAAGTACTAATATAATCGGCAAGGATGTTTTTTTTTTTAGATTTCATTGAATTTAACCTGATAAAAAATGATAAACGAGGTGTAAATTGATCTATTTGGCGTCAATAAATGGATTTTATTTTATTTTAGTTGTCACCCTACATAAATACTGACAAAAGAGAAATAATATTTTTCATATTTTTTGAAGTCCTTAGTAAGAGGAATATTTTAAAAAAAAATTTAATATTTGCTGAAAAATATTAAAAATAATAATATTCCATTCTACTGGACTATTTCGATGACTATGACGTCGTCAGTTTTCAAAATGCAACTGATTACACCATCAGTCCAGGTGAATTGTATTTTAGGGACACATTCTTTATAAAAATTTCAGCCGTCAGTTCTTGGGATAAATGGAACATTAAATTTCACCACTTTAATTTAGCGGCTTCCCATTGACAAACCGAAGTTGTGAGCTCAGATAAGGTTTATCTACAATTAAAAATGGTTACTAACTGTAAGTCCTTCAATTAAATGATACGGTGAGTAGCTCCTAGTCTGTAACTAGCTATCCAGTTGGAATAGTCCGCGATTGAATTTAGCTTTGCAATCGCATCTTTTTTATTAAAAAATAACATATCTCCACCATTTTTCAGCAAATATTTAAAAAAAAAACAATTTTTTTTAATATTCCTCTTACTAAGAATTACAAAAACATATGACAAAAATTATTTCTCATTTGTCAGTAATACTTTTGGAATTCAAGGGCATTGGTTTTTGACGGAGATATGAGGAAAAACAAAGGAAGAAAGAAAGTGCAAGATGGCCATCTTTGACCCTCCATTTTGGATGGAAGCGGACATGAGATTTTAGGGAACTTTTCATGGTTTGTTCTACATTCGATAAGGATTCTATTCCTACATAAGGATTCTATTATAATTCACACAATTACAGCCAATTATGAATTTTCTTACTATTGCCTATTTTTACTAGGCTATTTATAAGTGATTCTTAAAGTCCAATTAAATGTAACTACACGAAAAATAGTTCTTTTACAGATAATTTTTTACTTATCTAGCAACGGCTTTAGAAAGTAATCTTTGATTGTCAATAAACTGGTTCCTGCAGTGCCTGATACCATGCCCTGATGAAGACCTGAAAAGTGGGTCGAAATGTCGGCGTAATAAAATTAAATACTATTCTAGTTTATAATATCTATTTGATCGCATCTCCGAACAACTGTTTCTCATAATTTTTTAATATTTTTTCGTAAGACATGGTTATATTTTGCAATTTTAGGGGGCTTCAGCCCGAAAGCCCACTCCCACTCGTAGATCTGCTAGTGTTAATATGCAATGCCACTAAATATTCTTCCCATACGTGTTCCTTATCTAAATTTTTAACGTTTCATTATTAATTTTTTCAGTCAAATATAATATTTTAATTAATTCATTGATTAAAATACCATTATATAGAATTTAATTAAAATAAAAATACTATGTTCTTTAATGAATACTTGGTTTGCATATTGGATTGAATTCATTATCGATTCAATAAATCCGCCGTTTGTTATTGATTACTGAAAACTCCATCAGATACATGATTTATATTCCTACATTACGGTGAAAGGTCTTTTATGTTAGGCAGTTAATAAAATTCATCGAATAAAGGAAACCACATTGTATGCCCAGTGAAATGACTTGGCCCCTGAATAGAACATTAAATCAGATCCCAGTGAATAGAGAACAATAGTATAAAACCCTTTCAGATGTAAAACCGACTGTGACAGTAAAAACAGAATAGAATGCTCCACAAAAGGAATAAAATTGATATCCTCAGTTTTAGTACGGTTTCCATAACTACCTGAGATTCTATGGTAACCGTTTGAAAAAAACATTTCGAAAACTCAATCCGTCGTTAAAGGCGTCTCATATTCGTAATTTCCTCTCGCTCATCAAAGTAATTTTATGCAATATTGAAAAAATATTTTTGCAGGCAAAGTGTTGGCAAAAACTTAAACAATATCGTTGGGGACGGGAGGGATTTTAGGCTGTGTGGTTATTTTAACCTCTCGCACGAATACAACACTTCCTTACCTTCCGTAGTAACGAAGCAAAAAACGGATTCAATCTTCTAAACTATCTAATTACACCTCAAAAAAATCAATAAATAAAAAGCATTCATTACAATGTTAAAATACAAACAAATAAAACTATAGCACTGAATCACAGCATGAGCAACAAACAACAAAACTATCAAGTGGTAAAAACTATTCTTAACCGTCAATCATGGTCACTAAAATGGCAGAAATTGTTTATTATTATTGGGTTCAAAAGTGTTTGACCTGGAAAAGGGAGTGAAACAAGGTTGCTTCCTAAGCCTCATTCTCTTTATAGTATACATGAATGAGATTATCTTTTTTGTAAAAGACAAACAGCCAGAATGGCCATAGGTAAATGGAACCAACATCCCATAGTCGTACAGCTTCTTTTGTTTACTGACGATATCATGCTTATTGTAAGGTCCCCAAAGCGACTTCATTAGGTAGTAACGTAGTGGAATGAAGAACTGAAGTAAAAAGGAATGATTACTAGTTCCACAAAAAACAAATTTCTTCAAGTTGGTAGAACTCAATAGAATGTCCGAAATAGAATGTGTTGGAGAGAGTTGTAAACATTCTAGTTAGGCGAGAGTAATGAAGAACGCAATCAATTTTTATAATAAAAGAATATGGGAGATAAAAACGTAATCCAGTCCACTACATAACGAAAACTCAAAAAGTAAAGTAATTTGTTATGTTATTCAAGAAAATAAAAGACATTTGGTGTTTACTGGTCAAAATGACAAAATTTACGTAATGATAATTGTCTTATTTTTAAAATCGGATGCTCCGAGTAATTTGAAACGAAAGGCTTTGTTTTATTTCTGTATATATTGTATATGTGTTTGTGTATCTATATATATCTACAGCTACATCTTCTTTCAAGCCTAGAATACATTTAACCAGAATAGGGGATGATGCCCAACTGACAGATCAGGGATGTGCAAGACCAAGAGCCTCGATATTTAAAGGCCTTCTTTAACGAAGAGTATGCTAACTTTTTCTATAAGAAGGAGAGAACAATCGATGGGTAGTAGAAAATGTAAACTCGTATGACTAAGAAAAATATTTATACACGATCTACAGAATAAATATCAAAGCCACTAGACACATGGACTATCGGCTGAGCTCTACAAATACGTCGAAGGAGATCTTGATAAAGACTTATAACACAGAAAAGAATGAGTTGTTAAATTTTGAGGAAAGAAGCCCTAAACATTACCAGGAAAGAAACTGTCATGACGAAAAAAGTAATTCATAATAAAAAATTATTTATTAAAATAACATGTAATGTAAGTGAAGAAAATAATACAGACTGGATTAAGACGTAATAGATTCAATTTTTGGAATGTACAGTAAGATTTAGCATAACCAAAAACTCGGCGTTAAGAACTACCAATTGTTTTCCTTTGACCTATTTTTTTAAATATCTCCATCACTATAATTCGGTCTAATATTCAAGACAAACAATATTTTCTGGCATTGCTTCATACAGCAGATAGATGATAGAAGAACATTTATAAAACCACTTTTATCTTAAAGCAAATATTTTATTTATTTCTATTTTATTTTTATGCAATTTGCACCTGCGCAGCTGCGCATCTAGCAAATTTGTTGCGTTTTTATTGTCTTGGTGTAATTGCTTGATTTTTTTTATGTTGATGTTTTTATTGATGTAGTAGGTCTTTTGGCCATTTTCTTCTTAATCTTCGTTGCTCAGGTAACAGGGAGCAGGAGATAGAAAGAACCAGAGGATTGGAGTGATTTTGGGTTGAAGAATGAAATATAGTGTATTTGTCGTGGATGTAGGATTTTACTGTTGGGGTGTTTAATTCGTTATGTATAGTAGTGTTTGAAACGTACCAAGGTGCGTTAACAATTTTTCGTAAAATTTTTTATTGTGCTGTTTGTATTTTGTTTAT